TATATATATATATATATATATATATATATATATATATATATATATATATATATATATATATATATATATATATATATATTATATAAATAAGAAAAACATATATAATATATATTTTATATATATATATATATATATATATATATATATATATATATATATATATATATATGTATTATATAAATAAGAAAAACATATATAATATATATATATATATATGTATTATATAAATAAGAAAAACATATATAATATATATTTTATATTTATATAATATATCAAGTAGTCTCTACTTGTAATCCACACTCATGAAATCATACGGTCATAAAGAAATATCCATTTAATATTTACCTAACTAACTGCATCACAAGTTAAGCATGTATTATTGTTAAATTGTCAAATTCAAAACCTTATAAAAAGGCAACAGATGACCTAATTTATTAGCATGTGTGACTGTACTTGTTTTTATTGGGCTAATAAGTAACTTGTTAAATCTTTACTTGTTATTTGTTATGTTGATAAAAAAATTTTAAGTCACGCATGCGTATTTTAGTTATCATATTGCAATTACGAACGATCGAACTCGTAATATAGACGTTGAATTAACGTGGAATCAACGTCGATTTTATTTGATAGTTTTAAACAAATTTTTCAACGTTGATACAACGTTTATTTTTGGTTATACGACGTCGCGACTAAAAATCAACTGTAAATCAACGTCGAAATAACGTCGTGTGCCCACTGGGTGGCGATCAACGTAAGATTTCGTCTCTCTGAATCTTTTAATGATTTTTAGGACCGAACTATGTGATTGTTTTATTATTCTTCCAATTTCACGAGCGGTTTTACCTTCCTGGTGATAATGCATTACTTTTACACGATCTTCATAGGTAATAACTTTTCTGCTCATTTTTTTAAAAGAAGAGAGTTTTTTTTGTTTGAAATTAAATACTTTTTTTAAATACTTTTGGTTTTTTGGTAATGACTCAGGTCATTAATAAAATATTTAATTAAAAAAGGAAAAAATAAACTAAAAATAAGCGCATTTAGCACTTGTGAAAAAGTTAAGATTCCTTGTGGTTCTTAACTTTTTCACAAATAAAATATTGAAAAAAATTAATACATAATATTTAAACCTTATTTTTATAGGTTCGATTAATCAATTTTCTAAAAAAAA